TACATATAAATTTTGTAAGTCAAACCTGTCGGCGGGATAGAAGTTTATCGTTTCTCCCGTTCATCCCATCGGGATGCTATCCGCCTCCGAAGAGCGAGTGTTGAGGCGTCTTTCTTTTTTCGAGAGAGGAAATAACGTTTCTGGCGCGTTTCTCGATCGTAAATGATGGACGAACGACCTGGCGCATTCAAACGTGGCAAACATCGCGCGCAGCTGTGTCGTTCTCTCGCAGAGACGAGCGTATAGAAACTCGCGAACGAGATAGAACGAAGGGCTATAATCCAGGAACAAATCAACTATATGTTGTATTCCATACATCGTACCTCTGTGTTCCTCTACCTATACACACTTCTTTCTCTCTCTATCTCTCCTCTCTCCTTCTCCCACGAAAACTTTTAGATCCACACGTCCCTCGACCTCTCCCCCTCCTTTCCCTATTCACCTCCCCCCCTCCCTCTTGGATATTATTCGTTCACGTGGGTACGCCTCTACAATGTACATCGTGCACACGTGTGTTACACCCTTTTGCAGTTGCGCCTTCATTCACCGGGGGCTTAACTTCGCGTGGAAACTCCGCTGGACGGAATTTTCTTGCTTTGTCCTATATCTCGCGATGATGGTCGCTGCGTATCGAGATTATTTTACGTACCGCTTCGCCGACTTCGATGACGCGTACATATTTGCTTATCGTGTGTCCACTGTGTTCATTTTTTTATTAGCAGATTTTCATGCATTTACGAGAACTTTGGAGAAAGATACAAGAATAGATACGCGGAATGCGCATAATAGACGTGTGGAAATGTATGAAATTTTCATCTTACTTGGGACTAGCTAGGTTGTTAAAATTCACTTTTATCAATAATGTTCATCCTCGATATAGAGATCACTTCTTCTATCCGTCGTCGAAGTTCTCGCTGCATCTACTCGGCAGAATTAATTTTTAGATATTCAATGTCATTTAATAATAATGGCGATGATATAAATATCGTTTAACAAGTTTTAGACATTAAATATTGTTCGACAATGATTGCAGAGCACGATACGTTCATCAATTCCATAAACAATTTCTTGAGATGAATGATCTCTGAAAGTTGAATATTGAATCCTGCGAATTCCTATATAGCGAAGTTGAGTTCTTATTTCACGCTATCTATGTATCATATAAAATCTCCAAGTGATCCAGAGTTGATTATTTTGTGGAATTGCATTGACAAAAATCCGCATCCATCGAATAGAAAATATCGCGGTGGCGACGTACCGCGACGCGATCGCGGCAAAGGGGACTCGCGAGCTCTACATTCCAGTCACGATCGTGACTTCGGAACATCCCGCTACGAAATAAAGATGTTACGGGGACCGCAATAAAAGCGTCAACGAGCTCGTCGGCACATCTATCAATGTACAGCCACGATCGGGACAATGGCGAAACCGGAGGGACGTAGGGCGCGACAACGCGTTGTGTAAATACCTTAAATCTCGGCCACGCTTGCTGAAGCACGAAACACTCTCTCGTTCCTTCTCTCTCGTCCCTTCGACTATCGTTGATATCGTCTCGCGGAGACTCTACGCTTGCTTCTCTCCTAGCCGCTCGCTAGACACGCTGGATAAATCGCGACTCGAGTTCCTCCGACTCCGCCGAGATCGATTTCAGTCGCTCGCTGGTCCCCTCGTAATGTAATGTAACGTTCGAGCGAAGAAAAAGAAAACAATTTCATCGAGTTTACCTGTACTCGTGATTCAGGCAGATTGATCTTCAGCGCCACCTCCTCTCGCATGAAGATATCTGGATATCTTGTTTTAGTGAAAAGTCCTTCCAACACGTCCAACTGAGCTCGGGTGAACGTGGTCCGTTCACGGCGTTGCTTCCGTTGATTCATCCCTGAAACAGAAGGTAACGAGGGGGAGGGGTTAATAACTCACGGCGACATTCAAATATATTCGACACGATCTCGAGAGAAGTCGATCGTCTCGCGGAAAAAAGAAAAAGAGAAAAGGAGTAGCTCGAAGGGACGAAGATGAGTCGCGAGGCTGTTCAACCTCGGTGAGAAGGGTAAGGCATCAGTACCGCAGAACCGGAGGACAGAAAAGGGGGTGGCGCAGAGGGGTGTAAGCGTTGCGAGGTCGCGATAGCGTAATTTTGAACAGTTCCCCCGCTACGACCCACCCTCCTCTGCCTTCCTCGTGCCATCGAGCCTCGCTTGGCTCGTTCCGGGACCCACGTAATCCGCTTATGAGGGGGTCACGAGGGGCGGCGAGGGGAGGTGTACGGGGGCAGAGGGGGGAGGGGGACAAGTCAGGACGACGGGACTGTGGAGAGGGAACCGAGGAGGGCGGGGAGGGGTACACCCCGGAATACACGACCATCCAAAGGACGACCAAAGTCGCGGTTCGTTCCCAGCTGCCTCTGGAAACGATGGTATCCAACACGCCAACGTACAACGTTCCGACCAATAAAAAGAAGAGGCTGGAAAACTGCGCTTCGCCCAGTGTCTCTCGGTTGGAAGTTGGATCGTAAAGTCGTGGAAGGAATGGTAGACACTATGGTTCGTTTCTCCGGAGGATCCGCTGTAAAGGATGCCCCTTTGGCGATCGGGGGCCAAGGTATTTTAAAATTCGAACGTCTCGTGCGAATATTTGCCTCGCGTTCGACGTCGCGTTGCTCGTAAACTGACGATCGTTGGCAAAGTCAACCGTCTAACAGGGTTCTAACAACGACCAACACGACATGTCACGGATGCATGTTGTGCATAAAATGAGACAGCACGAGACTGGCGAACGTAGGTTTGGCAGGCAAAGAGAAGAACGCGAGAGAGAAGAGTTGAAAAAGCAACAGCTCAAACGACTTCGCGAGAGCAAGCTGAAAGAGTGGTTTATGACGAGGAAGAGAAAGCAACCGGTGAGGAAGGCATTGTTCGCGTCGCGTATGCTTTCCTCTTTAAATCCAGTCTTGAAACCACGCGAGATTAAAGGTACGATAATTACGTAACCGACCGGAGGATCGAAAAAAAGAATTCGAAGGAAACAGAAGCGCAAAGGGCAATTGCTCGTTGTAGGAAGAAGGAGTGGCCCGTGGGATCGGAGCAGAGCAGAGCGTCGTCGTATCTCTCCGCGCTGATCCTGGAACCCTGGTTCGTTCGAGCGATATATACGCAGCAACGCCGACACCGACGACGAGGCAAAGGACGATGACGATGACGCGAACGATGATGCACACGCGCGATCGTTGGCTAACGAACTGGTCGAGTGGGCTATCAGCGTGGTAGCCGGGTAGATCGTCGAGAGAGATTGCGCCCGAGCACAATGTAAAATTCCATACCGGTTGGCTACCGTCGCGACCGATGGCCACGACACGCCCGCGAGAGATCGTTGAATCTATGATCCGTATCTTGGCGGTTCGGTTGGCCGTGGCGCGACCAAGCACGGTGCAACGTACCGGATCGGAGAGCAACCGGAGAGGCTGGATCCCCCGGAGGTACCCGGAGGCTCCTGGGGAAAGAGAGGAGAGAACGAGAGGATCCGGCGAGAGGATGCTTGATTGTCGAGTGGGCGTTAGCGCTACCGACGGCCTTTGCCGGGCTATACATCGACCCCTGTGAAAGCCAGGCCCTTATCCAGCAACGAGACAATGGAATTCCGATTATGGTCTTCCGCCTGCTTCCACGCAGCGTCGAGTGGGCGCGAGGAAAAGCCCTTCGTTTGCTTGAATTCTACGCGAGAGAAGAATCGATCCGTGGCGCCGTTGATTTTCCACCACCACAAAAGGTTTTTACCAAACGTTTTTCACCCAAACGCGCGAGATTTCACGACGGACGGACGGACGTACGTTTCGATTTGCCGAAAAACGGCTAGCCAAAGGACCCTAACGGGACGGCAAACACCCGCTGCGCCCTGAAGTATGATTCGATTTATTATCGTCAGCGCGAGACGAAAGCCCGGGGTTGATATAAGGGTTGCGCTTTGGCTCATTGGCCCACAACGAGATCAGACGCGACCCTAATAGCAAATTCGTTTTCTGTTTATTGGATTCTTCGTTCCCTCGGAGCACCGGGCCTGCTCGTGTTTCGAGCTCCTCGAGTGGAACGGAATCCACGTGGAAGTCAATGGACCGGTAACGAAATTTTACAGTGATTTCCCTCGCGCCCCCTTTCGAGACGCGCCAACGTCATCGAGGAACGAAAAATTCCTTTCTCGATCGATTTGAAACAAAGCCTCGTCGCCGAAACAAACTGCGCGATCGTTGTATCTACCACGGATTTCGTAAAAGAGACTAATTAACGTCTCTATCCATCTAATGAGAGATTACGCAAACGTAACGAAAGGGACGTGAGAATTGAATTAATTATCCTGCCCGTTCCCGGACACGACGCGCTATAGATCAATCTCGCGAATCGACCGTATGAATTACACGGCCGGCACTCGCTTATCCGCGATACCATCTAAAACTACCGCCCGCGATGAAATATGGCGCGTCTGGGGGAACGCGGCGCGATTAAACCTCAACGTAGAATTTTCCCCCGGGTGTTTGTCGCTGAATCGCGTAATGCGCGTAATGTGTGCCGCGTGATTAGACAATAAATAACCAAGATAAGACGAGAACGCTACCACTTCATCCGTGCTCGTCGAACGCGGATTAACAAGGAAAAGGAAACGCGAATTAATATCAATTACATCGTTCGATAGCGGGCATCGAACGATAGAATCTACTCGTAATTATTCGATGAATTGAGCGGCTACCGCAAGTCTGACCATTCATCAGAAGCGCACGAGAGAGAGAGAGAGGAGATTGAGTCGTAAATTACGCGTTTCACGCGAGCATCGAGAAACCGGAAGAGAGTCGAAGCTGACCAAGTCGCTTACTGTACGAACGCTCGTCCCACGAGCCAAAAGGTTGCTTCGTTATTCATAGAATACGAGATGCGACGGTAGCAAATATTCCAAGTCGACGGACGACAAACAGAGAGAAAGAGAGAGAGGGACCGGCCGAGTATCGAAGGAAGCGCGAATACGGCCGAGAAGGGAATCGAAAATTAATTAAAAGCTAAAATGCGAACAGGACGCTAGACGGTGGAGAACGTGGGCGTGGGAGGGGGCGGGGAGGGGGGCGACGATGGATTATTCAGGGGACCGTGGGATGATAGCACGTGCCACTGCCGATGAGAGACGGAATTCTAAAAGGCCATCAGTTACGAAAACATTTGGCCGACTTTGCATTTACAGTATGACCTCCGTGAAATCGCTGCGTAAAGCAGATAACCGCGTCGGGGGGCCCGGTTTTGGGCCCGATGCGGACGAGCGAATTTCGTCGTTTGAGAGGTATCAAGTAGGTTTTTCATTGTGCAATACACGTGATCGTAGGCAAGTATATTTAATAATATTAATTTTTGTTAAGATCAGATCGCAACGACAAGGTTCGGGCGTTCGCGTCTGAGAAACCGCAGAACGGAAACACATTCAGAGACTGGAAAAAAAAAGAAGAGGAAGGGCCGAGAAAAAGTTATCGAGAAACGAGCCATCTGGGCTCGGGAAGACCACACAAACTTTCGATAGAGCGAAGAAACGCGTGTGGCCTTCGGACCTAGTCGCTCTTACCTGGTAATCTAGTAAAGAGGAGTATAAGTAAGTAACGAAATACCAACACACATCCGGGACAAGCGAATAATCGGATAAGCTTCGTGTTACCGTCTTCCAACCGATGCCGTCTCTCATTCGCTTCCTCTTCTGTTGTTCTATCTGCTTATTGTCAGTGCAACCTATCTACTGAGAAGCAGACGAAAACGAAAACAGCCTGAATTAGTGAGATGCGAAAAATTAGAATTCCGAAAATAGGTCTTGCAACTATCCGAGCTCCGTCCGCGCGTTACAGGTCCCAGAAAAATGGAGTCGACTGCAGAGGGCAGAGTAGAGGGCGAAGTATCGATATCTATCTAGTTGTACGTGATATTTCACTCAAACTCGAGTGTTTATCCTGCAATTAGGGCCTGGACCCGTATTTAGATCCCTCTGTCGAGGACGACACCGTCCACCTACTCAATTTACTCGTGACACGCGTCAAACGATGCGAGTCGTTTGTACTCGATGGAAGATTCCTCTCCGATGCTTTCGCGCGTGCTTGTTTAGCCGGATATTTTGTGGCCACTTCGTAACGATAGGTGCACGTGCTCCCGCCACGTGCCACCCTTAACCTGACGACTAATTGAGTGATTGAAATTCTATCGAAATGGCAGCAGTCTTCCAAACGAAAGATTAAACTATTACTCCCATCAATTTCTTAAAACTAATTTGACTGGCGAGTCTAACTCTTTTTAACTCTCGTTTTCTGATATCGAATAGATAGCATTAACTTCCTATCAATTTTTAAAGGTGAGAGATTAATTAATCTGCAGTTTTAGTAAACCAAGAAGCAACATAAACTCAAGTGCTGATTAACTTCACACCGAGTGAAAGATCATATCTTTTTGAACGAAACGAGTACGTAACAAACAATGAAGTAAAAAATTTCTTCTTCCTGAAAACTCTTTAATTTCCTAATCCCAGAGGACAGGAGCGCATGTTTTGTATTTTTTAATGCAAAAAAAATAAAACGGAGTACCTAGATTGATTCTAAAGTATCGAGACAGTGTGCTTCGAATTCATCTTGAACCACTTTGAACCGATGAATTGCTTCGCTTCCTGGTATCCGTTCGATTGTATCTTGATATGGAATAAAAATCAGAGGATGTCTGTTTACGCGTGCCGATTCCACCGAGAGGCGGAGAAAGTTAAGTGGACGGGCAATTTCTCTGCGACAACAAATAGTAGTCGTCGAATGAGAAAAGGGAGAGGCATGTGACGCGATTCCCACGTACCCGGTGGGCTCCTGCAGCGTCCCTGAACCTCGGGGAGAAACCTCGGCGCGTTAACGACAACGTTTTCGACACCCCTCCCTTTTTGGCACCCTTCGTTCCGCCCGGAGCTACTGCTTTTCTCTCTGTCCCGCCCTGACCCCAAGACTGATTGCATAATAAAATAAATACTGTCGTACATTCTTCGAGCGGGCGCCTTCGAAACACACAACGCGGACATGGACTATCTCTTTGCGCGCACGCGGCGAATACATCGCGTTTCATGGCGTAGCCGTCACGTCACGTTTAACCTTAACATTTCGTTCAGGTTTACTGGCGCTACTTCGCGTAGCTCAAGGCTGCAGACGACCCGTTTCGGCAAAAATTCATTTCCATTTTAATTTTTCATTTCTCGTGGAAAGGATGCGCGCCGGCAGCCCGTACATTATGTATTCGGCGAAAGAACCCGATTTGCCACGAAGGCTGGTAGAGAGGCAGAGGCCGCTAATTTACGCTTGCAGACGATTCGTAAAATTCTTGGGAAATATTTAATAGCGTGATCGATGGAATTTCATTGAAAATCAGACACACGCGAAGCGTCGTCGAATTCGACGAACGCGATTGTAAAGGAGAGGATGGTACTATGGCCCTTCCCGGTAATTTCGCCCTTTTTCACGTTTATAACAAAAGTACTTTCTGAAGTAAATAGTGTCGTACAAATACAAACGGAGGAAGGTTTTTTTTTTGTCAAAATTCAAGCGTCTCTGAAAACAGAGATTCATCGTGACTACTTTATTAATTTTTAATGGCAAAAATTTAAGGAAATCCTGACGTTTCGCTGTTTAACTTAAATCTTCAAAGGAAAATGGTAAAAAGAAAAAAAAAAAAACGGAGTAACACGTACAGCAAATTTCAAGGAGTTGTAAACGAAAGACTTCACTCTTCAAGATCATGGCGAATTTAGTCGTGAAAAAAAATTCAGGATCGTCAAAGTAGAGAAAATACCAAAGTTCCAACCAAATCGAAGTAGAAAGTGCTTTAAAACGTAAAATAATTTTTTTTTCTTTTATGAGATTATAACAGTTTGAAATATCAACAACATTTTCATCGTTACATGTTAAATTCAACTAAATTATTCTTTTCTATTTCTACCTTCTGACACGTATGATCTTATTAAAATTTAGAGTACAAATTATATTTTGGGAAGAAATCGGGAAGAGGGCGATATTACTACCCACTTTCTTCAACATTTATTAATAAACGATAAAAACTGAGTGTGCCTGTTTTTTGGCGAGGGGTTACGCGATTCGCAGCCGCGAGCCTTGTTTCTATCCTGGACTCTTTCGATTGCCTCTTTCGCACGAACGCGTACGTATATAGACAGAGGGACACTCCGGGTTCGTTCCTCTCTCGTTCCACGGCTTTTCGTGTAGCGGATACGCCTACAACGGATAGGCGGCTGGACGCGGGTACGTAGAGACCTAACGGACAGATCCGTGTTTCCATGGAAACCCACCTATCTGCGTTGGTTGGACCTATACTGCCTGCTGCCACCCTGATAAGCGGCTTACTCTCATGGTTCTCTCTACTCTTCTTCGCTGGGGCATTCCAGCCCCTTCCTCCTACCCTCTTGCCGCGACTCGAATCTCTCTACTCTCTCTCTCTCTC